ATTAAAATCTATTCACTTTTAGTATAAAAAATATTTACCAAAACTTTTCAAAAAAATAGCAAAGTTGTACAATTTTTAGTATTGCAATCTCTGATATTTATATATATATTAATTATTGTTTTAATTAATTTTTGAAATGGAATCATATTATGATACGATTATCGTTATACAGTTTGATAAACAACCACGTGGCAAACCTCGTTGAATTGTAGTTAAAAAAAGTATATAATTGTTAGTATTAGTTGAATTCCTATCGATATATTCTCTAATACTGTGTTTCATTCGATTGAAAATATCGATTACTATTTGTAACAATTGTTACGATTTCCTTATCATTGCAATAACACACTTTCTATATGAAATAGCATCGATAAATAATACTTTAGTCAAATCTTTATCAAATCTCTATCCCAACTTTTATTTGAAATATTTATTTTCGCGAATCTTATAGGATTATAAAGAGGATACTTTATTTAATATTACCTATATTTAATTTAATCCTAAAACTAAACCCACACGAATTATTATTTTCTATCTACAATAAATGATATATTTAAATATCTATACACGTGGTGTGTGTGTTTATAAAATAAATACGAATAAAATCAAACAACGTGTGATGAAAAATTAAGAATGGTTAATAAAATACAGGATGATGGTTGGTTGTTAGTTGAAATGTCTAGAATGTTCAATAGAAAGATGAAAAAATTGTCTTTGACACTTGCAATTAAATCTCCAGAGTATTGCATCTTCCTTTTGTCTTCTTATACTCACCCATACATACATACATATGCACAGACACAAATACGCAGATAAATAAAAGGATAGAAAAAGAATATTAAGAACACGTGTGTAAAGAAATAATATATACGTATACGCGTATATTACATATAAAATTACATTGAAACGAACCCGTGGGAGTCATATACATGTAGTATTACATAGAAAGGGACATGTACACTAGGTATATTTGTATTGGTGTGCGGGCGTAGTATTGAGAATGCGTTGCTTGAGGCTATCCAACATTTGAACATTCCGTTGAACCCGCGGGAATCCTTGTGCTAGCACCAATCCCACCGAGAAACCAACGAATAAATAACATGGCAGCTGATATGTACCTTCGTTTGCTACTGGATGCCTGAACCACTCAGTTGCCTGACATTAGTTTAATTACAGGAATGTTCGAAAACGTACGATGCGTTGTTCTATCGTCGTTGGAAAATAATGTACCATTTGTGTCAGAATTGTGCATATGGTACATGTATATATATGTGTGTATATGTGTACTCTTTTAGTCTTGATTTAT